GGGAAAAATAAGGCCCTCTGTCTATACAGGTTGTTGTGAGATATAAACTAGATAACAGTAGAGTGGGTGGGAGTGAGCCTGGTGCAGGGCAGGTGCAGTCACTAGCAGTTGCTGCTGTGGGTAATGGTGATGGTGATAATAGCAACTGGGCTTCCCGATTTCCTTTCATCCATTCTCAACACAGTAGCAAGAGTAGTTCTGTTAAGACATATGCAGATAATATCCTTCCTTGGCTGACAAGCCTCCAGGGACTCCCCTTTCATGCATGGGAAAAGCCACAATCCTTGTGATGATCTTCAGGCCCTGCCTGATTTGACCTGTCCCTTAGCATCCTCCCCAAGTGTCCCCATGCTGTTCCCTTCCTGTCACTCTGCTCCAGCTGCCGGCCTCTTTGCCATGCCTGGAACTTGCCAGGTTCCTCGTGCCTCGGGGCCTTTGCACCTGCTGCTCCTGCACCTGGAATGCTCCTCCCCAGGTGTCCACAGGGGAGGACACCTGGGGAGACTTCTTCAGGTCTTCAATCACATGTCACTTTCTTTTTTTGAGACCGGGTCTCATTCTGTCACCCAGGCTGGAGTGCAATGGTGCAATCATGGCTCACTTCAGCCTCGACCTCCTGGGCTCAAGAGATCTTCCCATGTTGGCCTCCTGAGTAGCTGGGACCATGGGTATATGCCACCACACTCGGCTAGTCTTTTAAAATGTTTTGTAGACATGTAGTCTCACCATGTTGCCCAAGCTGGTTTCGAACTCCTGGGCTCAAGCCATCCTCTTGCCTTGTCCCCCAAAAATGCTGGGATTACAGGTGTGAACTACTGCGCCCGGCCACATCACCTCTTTAGTGAGGTCTTTGGTCCTGCTGTCTAAAATTGCAAACTGCCCCCTGGCCCCTGCCAGCACCCCGCCCCGCTCCCCATCTCCCTTCCCTCCTCTATATCCCTTCTCAGTGTTGATCACCTTCAATGGTATTATGTATTTGTATTGTGTTGCTTGTCACTCCCATTAGAAATAATGAGAGCAGGGCCCTTTGCCTGTTTTGTGCCCCACAATACCTCCAGCATCTAGCTCAGAATTGGTGCTCAGTAATATGCTATTGTTTTTTATGTGATCTCTGTACGATAGGTTGGGCCAGCCTCCCCTCCTGGTGTGGTTGGGCCGTGACCAGGGGCCTCTAAGTGTGCTGTGCTTCTTCAGAAAGGCATTTCCTCCATCCCTCCTCTCTTCCACAGGAGCCCAGGGGCTGCAGGCTTCCTGCTGACAGTCTCTCCCACCTGCAGACATCCTGCTGATTTCAAAATGCATCCCCTCTGCTGGCTCTGGGCTCCTTCCCTGCCAGGAAGCTCAGTGAGCATCTGGGGAGGATGGCTGGCAGGTTGTGTGCCGCCTCGTTCCAGAGGAATTTCCCCAGTTCCCAAAGCCGTCCAGTGCCTGGGGGCTCCGGAGCCTGGGTGGCCTGATTTAGATCCGGGGAGCAGGGCCCCAGCTGCATGCAGTCTTCCCTAGCCAGCTGAAACTCCTGCTAGAGAGGCCTTCTCTCTAAAGCCTCTCTGGCCTTGTGCATTTCTGCCCCAGGGAGCTTTTTCTTTCTAGATTACTGGGCTGCACCCAAGTGTGGGAGTAAGGTACTGCAGTCACTTGGACACTGCTGTACCACGCTCCTCTTTCTTTAGGCACACCTCGGGCAGCACCTGCAGGTCTCTCAGACCCCCTCGCCTCCCAGTAGTCCCAGCCTCATCCCCTGTCAAATCTTGTTGGCCCATATCCGATTCGCTTATTGCCTGGCCTATTGGAGTGACTGACAGTCCAATACCTTCCCCATTTACTATGTCCTTCTGGGACCTTCAGGAGACAACAACGCTTTCATTCAGAGGAATGGACAGTGGAAGTACAGGCTGGCGGTGGTGGGACTTTGGAATAGGCTGGCCTCCAGTCTCTGAATTTCTACTAGGGGAGTGGAGAGACTCCCTGGAAAGAGGACAAGATTGGGTATCAGATAGACCAGAGTTGGAATCCTGACTTTCCTACCTGGATGTCTCCTCTTGGGGAAGTTCCTTGCCTGTCCGTAGAATGGGTGTGGCCATTCTACTCCTCCAGGGTGGCTGGTGGCTGGGAGGACTAAATGAGATGATGGTTGTGAGGTCCTTGGCTTGGGGCCTGGCAACAGAGTAAGGGTCGACAAATGGGAGTGGTCCAGGATGTGGGTCAGGTCTCCCCCTGCTGAGTGCTGAGCCATCGGTGGTACCCAGCTACCCCAGGGCTACCTGAAGCAATGCAGGAGCCAGCTGGTCCCCTGGAACCTGCCCTGGGCACAGGCAAAGGCTCCTCCTCTTGGGGCCCAGCATCTCTCTGGCTGTGGCTTTCTATGCAGGACCTGCTCCTCCCACCTTGCTCTTTCTGTCTGACCAGTCAGGGTCTGGTGAAGCTGGCCACTCTGGAGCCATAGGGAAGTCCCTGCCTGTTGTTTGGTAAATCCTCTGACACTCAGTGACTTCAATTTCACAGACCTCTCAACGATCCTGATTTCCTGCTGTCTGTATAAAATGACACAAATGAGGGACAGAAATCCAGACACACATGAACAGCTGGAATGCAGGAGAATTTGCAAATCTCAGGGTGTCAAGCCTGGGAGAGCCCTGAGGGTCATGAGGCCCACCTGCCTCTGTCAATGATGGAGAGCCCAAGGTCCAGAGAGGGCCTGTGGCCTGTCACAGGTCACATAGCTCATTAAAGTCCGAGCTGGGGTTCAAACCTGGGTTTCATGACTCCCCAACCAGTGCTCTCTCCACTGTACCCCACCAGCCTGGACAGTAAGTGTGCTGGGAACCCCACAGGGAACCCCACTTTCATTTCCTGTCTCCATGTCTTGACCCACACCCCCATACCAGATCAGGTAGAAAGTCACAGGGAGCAACTGACAGTACGGGCATTGGTGAGGATCAGGATGGTCTCAAATTCCAAATGAGCTGATTGTAAGAACTCGCTGACTGCCTCCTGCCCATACCTCTGTCCCTGTTTTTTCTGTAGTCTGGAGTGCTCTCCTCCCAACTCTGCTGGTCAAAAGAGCCTTCTCACACCTCCCAGGTCCCATACTTCCCAGGTCTCACCCCTCCCAGGTCCCACCCCTGCCAGGTCCCACCCCTCCCAGGTCCCATTCCTGGAAGGTCTTACCCCTCCCAGGTCTTACCCCTCCCAGGTCCCACCCCTTCCAGATTTCACACCTCCCGAGAAGCTTTGGGCAGAAAAAGGACTGTGAACTGTTCCTTTGTGCCCCACATAGTGCTTTGTTTTTGCTGCTTTTATCACATGGTTTCTTATGTTTTTATTGTTGGCTGAAGGAAATTCCCCTTTCCTGCTTTCATTCTAAGATATTTGGGAGCCAAGCCAGTTTCAGAGGCTATAGATAGGGAGCTAGGGCTCACCTGCATCCCGACCAGAACACTCAGGGGGTCTCTGCTGCTAAGGCTTGGCTGGCCTGGCTTCCTCCCACCCGGCCAAACTCTCATCTTTCCTCAGTTTGTGGGAAATGAGTCTGTTCATCTCTGAAATACTCTTAACAGGCACTTTTAAACTAGACACCGTGTCCTTCTGTAAACCTGTTCCAGCACAGATGCTTACAAACAAACACTCATCTCTCCAGGAGGGTCCTGAGGCCAGATGGCCTGGTGCCCACAATGCCAGCAAAAGGCTGGGGTTTGGTTGGTTTCCCCTGCCTAGAAAATAAAGGAAAGGAAGATGTGGCAGCTGCCTAACCAGGCTTTTCTGCTGAGGGTTTCCAGCCTCAGAAATTTCACATTGTTATGAGCTATGATGTCTGAGCTGGGGCCTGCTATCACCTGCACCTCCCAAGCAGCTCCTGCAGGAATTTGGACCTCAGAGCCAATCAAAGCCTCGGGATTCCAGGGATCTGCCTGTCTCCTCCGCTCAGCATGGACCAGAGATCCCAGCAAAATCCTACACAGATTTTGTAGCTGACAATGCCTTCTTTCTGTATACCTGGCACTGTGACAAGAGCTTATATGTTACATTTAATCATCCTGATAACCTTATAGCACAGGTGGTATTGTCACCATTTCACAGATGCAGAAACGGAGGCCCTGGGATGTTGAGCCATGTGCCCAAGGTCACACATAGCTAGAAGCCTGCCAGCTGGGACCGGAATCCAGCTCTTGCGGACCAGAAAGCCTGTGCAAATGACCATTGCACCATCCTGCCATCAGATCACCTCTGCCCCCAACACCTGATCCCAGCCTTCTAGAATAAGGCAGGTGTGCTTGTAGAGTCTCCAGGCTTGGCTTAACATGAGCTTAAACGCCATCAGGGTGGAACTCCACTGCTTCCATTAGGAAACTGCTGCCCAACCCCAGAGCTTCTGCTGGGAGAAAAAGTTTCCTGCCACGAGGCCTAAAATTCCTAGTGATTAATCTCATTCCATTTTGTGTAATTATACCCTCTCATGTCATCCCCAATACTTCCCTCCTTCAAAGACTTTCACACCCCTTGGACCCTTGCATGCAATTATCCTATTCTGCTTAACTTGGCAAAGCCCAGAGTGTGGGTCTTTTCATCTGTTATAATTATTCCATTTCCCTTGTTCCTGCATTGTTTCAGATATCTCATCTCTGAATAGCCTCCAATTTCAGGGTACCCTGTGGAACAGTGGTTGCCAAGAGTTCAGTGCTGCAGTCAGGAAAGATCTCATTAGGAGCAGGTGGAGGGAGGGGACATCCCCACTGGGCAGGGGTTGCCCAAGCTGCCAATAGCAATGCCATCTGGAGGGTCCTACCTCCTCCCTTCCTGGGCATCCAGGGCTGCCCAGACACCAGTCTGAAGGCAGAGGGGGCTTACCAACTGCTCTCCTGGGCACGGAGGGTATAGATAGAGCTCTCTCTGAGTAGGGACATGGGTCTGAGTCTCTCTACATGTCTCTTGTCTCAGCCTTCTTTTACTACTCTGCTTCAGCTTTTCATTTATTTAACAAACATTTGTCAAAGACCTGCCATATGCCAGACCTAGAGCTGGGCAGTGGGGATGCCATGGTAAGCAGAGGCATGCAGTCCCTGCCCTCAAGGGGTGTATGTTCCAGGGCATGGGAGAGACAGTGAGCGAGCAGAGCAGCTGATGCATATGGACAGTTGAGGCATGAGGAGATCAAGGGGCAGAGTCCAGGGAAGGAGAGTAACAAGGGGCCCCACTGAAGTGGGGTGGTCAAGAGGGACCTTTGAGCAGGTGGCATTGAAGCCGAGACCTGAAGATAGGAAGGACCCTGCTAGGGAAAGGTGTGGGAGGTCAGTTTCTGGAAGAGGTGACAGGTTGTGCAAAGCCCTAGGCAGGAAAGGCTTGGCTGAGTGGAAGGATGGATGGAAGAGCAGTGTGCACGAGCTGAGGCTGGAAGGCCAGCAGCCCAGACTGGGAGGAGGTTATGTATGATTGCAAGTGCCTTCCTTTTCCACTGACCTGCTGTGTGGCATGAGCAAGTAACTAACTTAGGTTTTCTCTTTGGTAAAACGAAGATGGAAGGTCAGGCACGGTGGCTCATGCCTATAATCTCAGCAATTTGGGAGGCTGGGGCAGGAAGATCACTTGAGGCCAGGAGTTTAAGTCTAGCCTGAGCAACATAGCAAGGACCTGTCTCTATGAAAATTAAAAAAAAAAAAAGTGGTGCAGTGATGTGAGGCTGTAGTCCAAGCTACTCAGGAGGCTGAGGTGGGAGGATCACTTGAGCCTGGGAGTTCCAGGGTTTATGAGCTATGATGTGCACTCCAGCCTGGGTGACAGAGTGACACCCTGTCTCTTAAAAAGAGATGGAGATGGTCATTCCCGCTTCCTAAACATATCAGAAGGCTTCAGTGGGAAGCCAGGCTGTTCCAGGCCCAGGTCAAGCCCTGCAAGCAGGGAGCAATTCTTTTCTTCTTTTCACCCCAATTCCTTAAGGAAAAACATCCTAATGTCTTGGCTCTCTCTCCACCCCACTCCTGTTTACCCTTCTTTCCCCTCCCACATGTGAGGTTCTCCCCACTCTAAGTGACACCCAGACAGAACTGACCAGACTTCAGCCATAACACATCCAGTTGAACTCCATGTATATCTGAGCTCTGCCAGTTCCAGATGGTGACGAGACGGGTGGGGCTTCTGCCCCACAGTGGACTTGGGGTTGCACCTTCATCTCACTTGCATTCTCTCTCCTTTTTAATCTTCAAATTGTTTTAATTAGTTATTCAGTGGGCACAAAAGACTATTTCTGGCATCTGTCTAAAGTATAAAGAATGAGAACACAGCGAACACCTGTGTACCAACCGCTCAGTTTAAGGAGAGCGTTTCCTTCCCATTTGGAGTTCTGCGTCTGCATCTCCCCAAGTTTGCCTAGAGCTAATCACTTTCTTGATTTTTGTGTTTATCTCTTTATTTCTTTTCTTTATAGTTTGCACTTATGTGTATATACCAAAGTAACATATTGTTTTAGTTTCTGCATGCTTTGGAATTTTATGTAAATATAAACGCAACCACACTGTATGTATCTTTCTGTTCAACCTTTTTTTTCTGAGATCCATGTTGTGACTTTTTGGTTTTTTTTTGAGACAAAGTTCGATCTTGTCCCCTAGGCTGGAGTGCAATGGCACAATCTTGGCTTGCTTGAACCGGGATTTCAGGCTGGGATGACACGCGATCGCCACCTCACCTGGCTCATTTTTGTATTTTCAGTAGAGACAGGGTTTCACCATGTCGGTCAGGCTTCTCTTGAACTCCTGACCTCAAGTGATCTGCTCACCTTGACCTCCCAAAGTGCTGGCTGTGAGCCATTTTGGGTGTGAGCCACTGCACCTGGCTGGCTATTGTTATACACATTCTATTATGGGAGTAGATCATGATTTAATTATTCATTCTCTGATCTCGGGATCTTTGCAGTTGTTTTTATTTCACAGTGCTGCTGAGAACACTCTGGTTTGTAACTGGACCCACAGATGCAATGGTGTTGATTTAGGAATGGAATTGCTGGATTATGGAGTATGGCTAAATTGTTTTCAGAAGTGGCTGTACCTGCAGTTACTCCCATCATCAGTGTAGAAGTATTCCTGTTGTTCTGCAGCCTCCCCAGTGCATGCTTGGTGTCTTTCTAACTTTTGTTGATTTAAAGGGTGGCATCTCATTGTGGGCCCCCTTTATGTTCTAGTGCATTCTTCAAAGCAGCCATTTTTTGGCTTTGTCAAGGTTAAGGTTACTCTTTCCTCTTCAGAGTCTGTTTCCAGGCCTGCCCTCTACCTTTCTTGGCTATGGCAGAGAATGATACAGCCTTCCTCCTCTCTCAAGCCAGGGCTCTCTTCTCTCTCATGTAGGAGTCTACTTCTCCCCTTCTTCCCCATCATCTCCAGTGTCCCCTTATTTATGGTTTCCAGATTTTGTAAATGAGTAGTGTGGTAGGTAGCGCTGATCACATACCCAATCTCAGGCTATTTTCTTGCCTTCCTCTTCCTATAGAGTCTGAAAATGCTGGATAGCTTCCTGGCTGCCCTTGCAACTAGACGTGGCCATGGATCCAGTTCTGCCAATGAGATACAGGGGTAGGTTTACTGGGAGGCTTCTGAGAAAGATTTATCTCCCTGAAAAAAGGAAGTAGGTTCTCCCTCCTCCTGCCTGCCATGGATGTTTGTATATGAGAACATGATGTTTAGAGCTGCAGCAGCCACCTTGCAACTATGAGGCAGTAAGTCTGAGGATGAGAAGCCGATTTGCTCAGGATGTAGAGAAAGGCTGAAAAAGGGCCAGATTCTTGGGGACACTGGGGGGCCAGTGAGTGAATTCTGAAGCTGCCACCCTACACACTGCTTGTTGGGTTAATCAGATGCCTTTATTGCTCAAATAATGTTCATAGAATAATCTATTTGCAGCCCAAATACCCTGCCTTTGGCCTTTGTAGTGATTTCTCTGTCTTGCTTTCTCTGTCACTCTGTTCACTGACTCCTTTTGTACTGCAAATTGCACTCTCTAAAGACTCAGTAATGTAATTCCTGCCAATCCAGTTCCTCCTGAACTTTCTATAATGCCCGACACTGTCATCCGCCTTCTGGAGGGCTTTTCCCTCCTGGGCTTCCGCGATGCTCCGGGATCCAGGGTTTCCAGCTGCCACAGTCTTTTTCTCCTTACACTGACTCCTTCTGTCCATGAACTACTTTTGCTGAACACCTGCTACAGACCAGGAACTGAACATGGTTCTTTCTAGAGGTCATTTTACTCCCTACAAAACTCCTGTGAGGTAGGGATTATAGTTTCCACTTCACAGATGTAGAGCCTCAGCTCAGAGATGGTAATTAACTCATCCACAGTGATGGAGTTAGTAAGTGACACAGCTGGGATTTAAAGTGAGGTATCTTTAACTTCAATTACACCATCTTGCCCAAGGCTAGACAGCCAGTCTCTTTCTCATGGTTCTTTTTAAACCTCTCCTGTGGTCAAATGACACATTCTTATTGTATTAGGCCATTCTTGCATTGCTATAATAAAATACCCCAGACGTGCCTGGCATAGTGGCTTGTGCCTGTAACTTCAGTACTTTGGGAGGCTGAGGAGGGCAGATTGCCTGAGTCCAAGAGTTTGAGACCAGCCTGGGCAACATGGTGAAACCCCCTCTCTATAAAAAATACAAAAATTGGGTGGGCGTGGTGGCATGTACCTGTGGCCCCAACTGTTCAGGAGACTGAGGTGGGAGGATCATTTGATCCTGGGAGGTCGAGGCTGCAATGAGGCGTGATAGCACCACTGCACTCTAGCCTGGATGACAGAGTGAGACCTTGTCTTAAAAAAATACCTGAGACTGGATCATTTAGAGGATTAATTGGCTCACAGTTCTTCACGCTTCACAGGAAGTGTGGTGCTGGCATCTGCTCAGCTTCTGGTGGATCCTCAGGGAGCTTTCAATCATGGTGGAAGGCAAAGGGGAAACAGGGTCACATGGGTGCCACACACTTTTAGACAGACAGATCTTGTGAGAACTCACTCCCTATTGTGAGGACAGCACCAAGAGGATGGTGTTAAACCATTCATGGAAATCCACCACCATGGTCCAGTCACCTCGCACCAGGGACAAACATACAAATGTTATCACTCATTGCATCAATTATAGAGAGACCTCCCAAGTTTTTCCCACAGTCTTACACTATCCCCTCAGTCCTGAAAAATCATGAATGCTTCTCCTATCCCCTTACATCTACCACGTATAATTCTCACCTAGTCTGCCTTTGTGGTTTCTGACCACAGCATCTTCCAACCATAGAGATGGATGGGTCATCCTGCATTCTTTTGTCCACTCCTGCCTTCTCCATCTCATATACTCAGTCAGAAGCAGCAGTCCTGGGTGATCCCATTGAAAATATTTCTTGCATCTGTCCCTTCGCCCTCACTCCTAGGCAATGCCCCATGCCCCACCATCTGGTCCTTCCCCTTCTCATCCACCCCTAAGACTGCTTCCAGATGGATGGTTCTAATACATTGCCTTCCTGATGCCCCCACATGTTCCCATTGCCTATGTGGCCCAGTCCTGGCCTTCATGGCCCTTCATGATCTGGCCCCTGCCTTGGTTCTTGACAGAGTAGTTCAAATCCACCAGCATGGGCTGCTCTTTCCAGACATATGTTCCTCTTTCTTAACTTCCAACTGCCCAATCCCCCTCACCCCTCGCCCCCATCTGGCATCTTCTTCCCCTAAGCATAAAACACCTAATCTTTCAGTACCCACCTCTAGTCCTTTGGGTGAGGGGAAGACTTCTGTTACTAGACTGCTGGGATCTCTCCTGCCTCAGCTTTCCTATGACTCTTGCTGTTTCTACAGGTCCCTGGGACACCTGTCAGATGCCCACTGTGTCATGCTGCCTAAGCCAGGTTTTCCAGATAAGACTGTAAAATTCTTTATGATCGGAACCATACCTCTCCCTATCTGAGGCTCAATCTTGGGGCACTGAATAGAGATGTTCCCTTTCCTGTAAGTCAACTCACCCTTTCCTGTAAGTCAATATATAAATATTAACTGAGCATCTACTATGTTCTAGGTACTATTTGAGGCAATGGGAATGCAGTTGAAGTGACAAAGTTCCTGCCTTCAGGGGTTTATGGTGTAATAGGGAAGATGAATAAATAAATTTTAGCAACTATGACTGTTATGATAGGGAAAGTATAGGGTGCTAACAACAGGGGCACATATAACCAAGGCCAAAGTGACAGGAAAGCCTCCTTCCCAAGGAAGGAAATTATAAATCAAGACTAGAAAAAGTTTAGCCAGGTGAAGAGCCAGATGAAGAGCAGGGAATGTTCCAGGTAGAGCGCATATGAAAGTTCAGAAGTGAGAGAGAGCACAGCACATTTGAGAGAATGGAGAATGAAAGCCCATTCTGGCTGTGGCTGGCATGGAGTGCGTGTGGGAGAGAAGTGGTGAGAAGGGCCAGGAGGGGTGGAGAGTGGAGGCCAGATGGGCTGGACCCAGGAGAGAAAGGAGTCCTGGTTGTTGTGGCCTTGGAGAGGAGGGATGGCACTTTTTTTGGCTGGGGGTGGGGGGTGGAGTCTTGCTCTGTCACCCAGGCTGGAGTGCAGTGGCGTGATCTTGGCTTACCAAAACCTCTACCTCCTGGGTTCAAGCGATTCTCCTGCCTCAGCCTCCTGAGTAGCTGGGATTACATGTGCACACCACCACGCCCTGCTAATTTTTATATGTTTTGTAGAGACAGGGTTTCACCATGTTGGCCAGGCTGGTCTTGAACTCCTGGTCTCAAGTGATCTACCTGCCTTGGCTTCCCAAAGTGCTGGGATTAGAGGCATGAGCCACTGCTCCTGGCCCCAGCCCTTTTTAGACAAGGAAGCTTTAGGTTCGGGGAATATCAGGGTTCCAACAGGGAATGGTGAAATGGCTGCTAGAACTTGGAAGACTATAGAAATGTTCCAATTGGTGGAACTTGCCCTGTGACCTGGGCAATAATCAGGAATTCTAAAACCTCTAAGGAGTTTACCAGGCAAAGCATGGTAAGATAGAAGCCATGAGAAAGGTGTCTAGAAAGCCCCATGTTTGGGAGTGGAATGGTTCAAGAAAGGCTTCTGGTCCTGATGGACTTCAAGATGCATCTGCAGCGTGGGACTGATAGTGCTGGGCATGGGTGTGGGGAAGATGGGGTTCTCTCCTTCCTGCCAGAGTCCAGAACAGTATCTGGAACATAGGAGCTGCTCAATCTTAGTCTGTGGCTAAGGGCTTCTGGCTTCAGTGCCTCTGGTGGCCCAGTTACCCCTGGCACCTCTGCTTCTCGTTTCCACAGCAGAAACTGACCTTGGGAGAGTGAGGTTGGCAAAGGCCACTTCCTCAATGTTCATGTCCTTCCCAGTCTCTACCAAGCTAAACAAATAGCTACTTTCTTTCCAAGGTAATTGGACCAATTTGTCCAAACATGGAAAGCCAATAAGTGGGTCTGAACTGAAGTCTTTATCTATTATTATGGCACCACCCCTATTGTCTAGAGTTTTTTATCATCTACAAAATAAAATATTCATTTATACACCCTCCCACAGAACAAATCAGATATAAAATGATTGATTCTAACAGTATCTCAAGGAAGCTCCATTTTCAGAGAACTCTGCCTTAATTAATTCAACAAATATTTATTGAACCAGACATTATTCTAGCCATTTGGGATACATCAGTGAACATAGCAAAGATCCCTGCCCAAGCTTGCAATTTAGCAGGCAAGACAAACAGAAGGTATAATAAGTAAATTATACAGTTTGCTAGAAAAGGTGATGAGTGCTACAGAAAAGAACTAGAAGGGGAACTAAAGAGAGAGCTCTCTTTTCCACAAGCCGACCTACCTGAGTGGGAAGAGGGATGGGAAGGAGGGAAGGGAAGGAAGAGACAGGACACAGTTTCTGTGCTTTACTGCCCGCATTAGCCTTTTGTCCCTGGTTGGAATTTTAAACTAATTACCTGTATTACCTTGATAAAAATTAAGTTTAAATAGTGACATAACCATATTGGGAGGGTAGGGTAGTGGTGTGACCCAAGTTCTCTTCTGTCACTGAAGAAAATGAGACAAAGTTTCTAAAGTGAATAAATCAAGAGATAGAAGTACAGGCATATTGGCTGGGTGCGGTGGCTAACGCATGTGATCACAGCACTGTGGGAGGCTGAAGCGGGTGGATCACTTGAGGTGAGGGGTTCAAGACCAGCCTGGCCGATATGGTGAAAACCCATCTCTACTAAAAATACAAAAATTAGCTAGGTGTGGTGGCACACACCTGTAGTCCCAGCTACTAGGGAGGCTGAGGCAGGAGAATCACTTGAACTCAGGAGCTGGAGGTTGCAGTGAGCCGAGATCACACCACTGCACTCCAGCCTGGGAGATGGAGCGAGACTCCATCTTGAAAAAAAAAAAAGAAAGTACAGGTATATGATTTAGAAAGTCGAGATCATTATCAGAAGGATTTAAAATGGAAAAGTAATTTTTCTAGGGGGAAAAAAGACAGAGAGGAAGGCTCGGGACAGAGTTGGTGGGGGACTCTTGCCTTCTCAAAATAAGCCTTTCTGTATGTTT